CCATGCCATCTCCACTTAACTCAGCACAAGGATTTGAGTGTTCTCAAACATTGTCAGAGTTCTTAGAGCTGAGCAAAAAATCACAGATGGTGATGTCACTGTTTACCCTGTACTTGTTTTCAGAAGTTACATTGAAACAGCTGGAAGAAGTCTCCGCAATGTGGTGTAAATTTTGAAAACTTTTGTTTAGAAAGGTATTTTCTTCTGTGTGATGTGTACAGGAGTTTACAAACATAGGCATCTGCTATTAGAAACTATTGCTTATACTTGTTTATTTCTGAAATAATAACAAATGATTATGTATATGTATCATCCATCCATTCATTGCATCCATCTATTTATACCATCCATCCATTCTATCCATCTATTTATACCATCCATCCATCCATCCATCCATTCTATCCATCTATTTATACCATCCATCCATTATATCCATCTGTTTATCCATCCATCCATCCATCCATCCATTCCATGCCATTCATTCCTTCAAATCCATTCATTCATCCATTTCTTCCAATTCATCCAATCACTCTGTCCATTCATCCAATCACTCTATCCATCCAATCACTCCATCCTTCAATTCCATCTATTCCTTCTAATCCATTCCATCAGTTCCTTCTAATCCATCCATTCCTTCAAATCCATCCATCTATCCATTTATATTGTCCATCCATTCTATCCATCTGTTTATCCATCCATCCATTCCATGCCATTCATTCCTTCCAATCCATTCATTCATTAATTCATTCCATCCATCTATTTATACCATCCATCCATTCTATCCATCTATTTATCCATCCATTCATTCCTTCAATTCCATTCATTCATCCATTTCTTCCAATTCATCCAATCACTCCATCCATCCATCCAATCACTCCATCCTTCAATTCCATCTATTACTTCTAATCCATTCCATCCATTCCTTCTAATTCATCCATTCCTTCAAATTCATTCATCTATCCATTTATATTGTCCATCCATCCATTCTATCCATCTCTTTATCCATCCATCCATCCATTCCATGCCATTCATTCCTTCCAATCCCTTCATTCATCCATTTCTTCCAATCCATCCAATCACTCCATCCACCCATCCAGTCACTCCATCCATCTGTTCACACCATCCATCCATCCACTCCATTCAAACCATCTATATATCCATCCATCCATCCCATTCAATTCCATTCATTCCTTCCAATCCATTCATTCATCCATCCATCCATTTCTTTCAATCCATCCAATCACTCCATCCATCCATCTATCCATCCCTCAATCTATCCAACCATCCATTCACTCCATCCATCAATCCATTTACTCCATCCATTCATTCCATATATTCCTTCTAATCCATCCATTCACCCATTTCATCCATCCATCTGTCTACTCATTCCTTCCATCCATCTAAAGCTGGATCATACACTTTTACGTTGGCCATAAACATGATCTGCCTGAACAATTCTTCACAAGATCGGATAACATGATTGGTTCTGTGAATTATTGTAAAGACACATACTGTGTCCTAAACTGACACTGAGAAAAAACAATCAATACAATTGAAATTATTTTGATCGGTCTGGGAGGAAATCCGATCATAGGAAAGTGGATAATTTGATATGATCGTAAATCTATCGACAATATGGCAATATAGTACTGTTAATCGTTTTGTCATGGCCAGCAGCCACAGTCATAAAGTTTCCATCTGGAACCTTCAATTTTTCAATTAAAGGATGTCGGGTGGGTGTTGACAGGGCCACCCACAGAACAAATTTTGGCCGGTTCATCAGCCTCCTTGCTAAGCTGCTCAGAGGCATAGTTGCTCGCTTGCACCCTCCATATACGGTGCAGGGTTAATAGTTCTACATTGTACATGATGGCGCTGAGGGACTGCCCAGAGGCCTGAGCTTTGGGGAAAAGAGGACAGGACTGGAGCCTACTGGAACAGGGAATAAGAGAAGTAATACAGCGCCTTACTCTACATCCATAGAAATAGCAAGCTTTTAACCCTTGGGTGAACTGGGCTGCACAGTGGCTAAGTGGTTAGCACTTCTGTCTGGCAGTATTAGGGTTGTTCAAATCCCAACCATGGCAATACCTGCCTCGAGTTTGCATGCTATCCTCGTGCCTGCTTGAGTTTCCTCCTAGATGCAACCTCCCATCAAGTGACTTTCTACAAAGTTGCTGGCTGATTACTGGAGGAGAGAGAGAGGAAAAAGCCTCCTTCTGTGAGCAGCAGACATATGAGCCTAGGCAGAGTCACTGACTTGAGCACATAGATGTCTTTTTATTGATAAATAGACAGAACTTTTTGAAAAATGGTTGTGTTGCTGTCCGCTTGTTGACTTGCCAGAGTACATATACTGCAGCGGGGTGGCTACTACATGCACAGCAACGTACCTGTATGTCGCCACCTGTTTCCGGGTTTTGGGTGCATGTGCCCCTACCTGCCTACTCCCCTGTGATTTGACATAGAAGAAGTTTGTCAGCAGATCCTGGTCAATGGTTCATGGCCAGGACCTGCTGATCGGCTGTGTCGAATCAGAGCCCAGAGCTCTTTGGTGACAACACAGGGCTCTATGTAAAGGGAATAATTGCTCCGTTTGTTTTCCTCGCAAAGCAGGGAAAAGAAACAAATCAATCGTTAGTAAAAAGCAGCACATATTACATACACTACACATTGTTAGGCACACAATTAACCCCTTGATTGCTCCTAGATGTTAAACCTTTCCCAGCCAGTATCATGATCACAGTGACAGTGTACTGTATATTATTATTATTATTATACAGGATTTATATAGTGCCAACAGTTTGCTCAGCGCTTTACAATATAAGTATATTATTAGCACTGATCACTGTAATAGTGTCACTGGAGATGCCAGTGGCAGTTAGACAGTTTCCACAAAATGTCAGTTAGTACCAGATTGCTCACTCACAGTCCCACTATCAGTAACTGATCACTGCCATTACCAGTATATAAAAAATAAAAAAAAATAAAAAATACATGATATATACCATCATTTGTAGATGCTATAACTTTCAAACAAACCAATTACTATAACTTATTGGGAATTTTTGTTTTACTAAAGAAATGCCACAGAAAACATTTTGGCCTAAATTTACAAAGAAATTAGATTTTTAAAATTTTTTTGAATTAATTTGTTTTATAGCAGACAGTAAAAAACACAGTGGTGATCAAATACCACAAAGGAAAGCTCTATTTGTGTGAAAAAAATTGTATAAATTTAATTTGGGTACAGTGTTGCATGACTGTGCAATTACCAGTTAAAGTAACGCAGTGCCGAATAGCAAAGGATGGCTTGGCCACTTATGGGGCAAAACCTTCCGGAGCTTTAGTGGATATTGCAACTGTTTATCTAGGCAATGTTTGCTTGACAAAGGGGGCGGAGCCCCTAAAATGCATATTGGCTCTGTCCATCCTCGACATCACAGGTTGGAATTAACAGCTGCACACTCTCTTTCATTGCGGATTCAAGTCCCGCTGACTTGCTCACCAATCCCGTGCTGTGATAGATGTTCACACTGTTCACACTGCTGCAGGTCCTGCTCAGGTGGAAGGTGCAAAGGTGAAAATGCGGGATGGTCCTGCTCAACCTGGGACTGTTGGAGGTATGATTGTATCTAGTCAGAAATCTTGTGATGGGAAGACACCCCAAGAATTACAGGCTTGCTCATGGAATCCCTTAGGCTAGTTGTCACCAGCACCTTCTTTTGTCAGTTCATTGCTGCAATGGGAGGAAGTCTAATCTTCAAGCATTCAATATTTTTGGACTGGTGTGTCATGGAGTTTACTAGCTTCTGCTTCTGTTTCACAAACTTGGGAAATCCATTATGAGGTAGCACAGTGGCTAAGTGGTTAGCACTTTCACCTGGCAGTACTAAGGTCATTGGTTTGAATCCCAACCATGGCACTACCTGCCCGGAGTTTGCATCTTCTCCCTGTGCCTGCGTTGGTTTCCACCCACACTTCATATTCTGGTAGGTTAATTGGTTCCTGTCTAAATTAGCCCTAGTATGAATGTGAATTAGGGACCTTAGATTGTATGCTCCTTAAGGGTTAGGGACTGATGTGAAGGTACAATATAGATGTAAAGTGCTGTGTAATTTGATGGTGTTACATAAGTACCTATAATAAATAGACCCCAGTTTTAACAAGGTTGGGGATGCATGCTTGCCCTCTTCTATCCGCTCATCATCTGCTCTGTTGACCTTCAGAAGGTACAGGGCTCCAGATTTTCAGCCACTCCACTTTCTGACAGCTACCAGACCATAATTTTTTTTTCCCCATGGCGGGATTAGTGAGTCAAGGCTCCATAATATGCACTACCTTTATAGCATCTCTGTTTTTTGCTGTGTTGTATAGTCAATATCGTAAGAAATTTACTTACATTTTCAACCATTCCAAAAGAGCCTGCAGCAAATACCAGCACAGTGAGCTTTCATTTAGCAGAAAAATCTGCAGTGTACAAATCTGCCTGTGGTCTACCTTTTTCAGTGTTAAGATATAATTAAAAGTAAATACACATCTAATGCAAGGTGTGGCGACCTAGGTGCTCATTTTTATAAGCAGGACAGCCGATTAAACTCTTATGTTAATTAAATACAATAAATCACGTTGGTATGTTCTTGGCATCTGTAGTAACAGAAGTTAAAAGTTCACAGTTCTGGTCATAAGTGCTTGTTATGTGATACCATGATACCATGTTTAAAGAGCACCTGTCAAAAAGCATAGTAGAAGATATCTTAGAAGAGGTATATCAGATCACAATGGTTTTTTATGCAAACACTGCCTATTAAATGTCTCAACTCTACCAAACTCCCCAATATTCAATAACAGAAGACACAATTTACCCTAAAAAACTAATAGTATATATACCAATCTTTCACGATCTTTTTAAGATGAAGGGACCTTTGAAATAATTTTCCGGTCTCACGAAACTCCTGCTAATTGTACTACAGCTCACTGTACAGTAGTGTGATGGTCAGTGGGAAGAATGCTCCTTACATTTGTGGACAGTCAGGAAGAACGCTCCTTACATTTGTGGTCAGTGGGAAGAATACTCCTTACATTTGTGGTCAGTGGGAAGAATGCTCCTTACATTTGTGGTCAGTGGGAAGAATGCTCCTTACATTTGTGGTCAGTGGGAAGAATACTCCTTACATTTGTGGTCAGTGGGAAGAATGCTCCTACATTTGTGGTCAGTGGGAAGAATACTCCTTACATTTGTGGTCAGTAGGAAGAATACTCCTTACATTTGTCAGTGGAAGAATGCACATTTGTGTCAGTGGGAAGAATGCTACATTTGTACATTTGCCTCTTACATTTGCGGTCAGTGGGAAAAATGCTCCTTACATTTGTGGTCAGTGGGAAGAATGCTCCTTACATTTGTGGTCAGTGGGAAGAATGCTCCTTACATTTGCGGTCAGTGGGAAGAATGCTCCTTACATTTGTGGTCAGTTGGGAAGAATGCTCCTTACATTTGTGGTCATGGGAAGAATGCTCCTTACATTTGTGGTCAGTGGGAAGAATGCTCCTTACATTTGTGGACAGTTGGAAGAATGCTCCTTATTTGTGGTCAGTGGGAAGAATGCTCCTTACATTTGTGGTCAGTGGGAAGAATGCTCCTTACATTTGTGGTTATTGGGAAAATGCTCCTTACATTTGTGGTCAGTGGGAAACATTTCCAACTTACAGATAGCTTAAAAAAAAAAATTGGTGTCAATGGGAACTTATCTGAGAGGCAGAAATTGCTCCCTGCTAATGGAATCCCTAGAAACCTATAGAGGAACCCTAGGGTTCAACAGAACCCTGACTGAGAAAGCCTGGTATATAATAATGGAAGGAACAGAAAGGAGCAGGTTCTACCTATGGTTGGAAATATATTGTCACACAGGTACTCCTGTCACTAGTGACACCTTCCCATTGATACATCACTAAAATTCAACATACATTACCCTAGGGCAGTGGTCGGCAAGCCGCGGCTCGCGAGCCACATGCGGCTCTTTCCACACTTTAATGCGGCTCTTCTGTGTGCCGGGCGCCCCGCTCCCCTCCCTCCTCTCTCGGCGGCCACCCCAAAAGTCAGGACTCTGCAGCTAGCCCGGCGGACCTTTTAATCCGGCCCGCGGCAAACATTGGCTGTCAGGATGTAGGCGGGGCAGCGTGACGAACTCCTCTCCTCTCACAGTCCGCCCTGAAGACCGGAACGGCGCAGGAACACGGCGAGAGGAACGCGCGGAGCAAAGGTAAGTGAATTGACACAATATGGGGAATGAATTACTATAGGGGGGATGAATTACTATAGGGGGGATGAATTACTATATGGGGGATGAATTACTATATGGGGGATTAATTACTATATGGGGGATGAATTACTATATGGGGGGATGAATTACTATGGGGGATGAATTACTATATGGGGGATGAATTACTATGGGGGTTGAATTACTATATGGGGGATGAATTACTATATGGGGGATGAATTACTATGGGGGATGAATTACTATGGGGGATGAATTACTATATGGGGGATGAATTACTATATGGGGGATTAATTACTATGGGGGATGAATTACTATATGGGGGATGAATTACTATGGGGGATGAATTACTATATGGGGGATGAATTACTATGGGGGATGAATTACTGTATGGGGGATGAATTACTATATGGGGGATGAATTACTATGGGGGTTGAATTACTATATGGGGGATGAATTACTATATGGGGGATGAATTACTATGGGGGATGAATTACTATGGGGGATGAATTACTATATGGGGGATGAATTACTATATGGGGGATTAATTACTATGGGGGATGAATTACTATATGGGGGATGAATTACTATGGGGGATGAATTACTATATGGGGGATGAATTACTATATGGGGGATTAATTACTATGGGGGATGAATTACTATATGGGGGATGAATTACTATGGGGGATGAATTACTATATGGGGGATGAATTACTATGGGGGATGAATTACTATATGGGGGATGAATTACTATGGGGGATGAATTACTCTATGGGGGATGTATTTTCAGTTTTAAAAATGTGGCTCTCAAAATAAATTTCAATCGTGGTTTTGGCGAGATTTGGCTCATTGAAAAAAAAGGTTGCCCACCACTACCCTAGGGCTCTGTTGCTGAACATATGGCTCAAGAACCTTATGTGGCTACTTGATACTTGTTATGTAGCCCTTGTATACTGTATTTGTTGTGCAGTCCTGGTATATTGTATTTGTCGTGCAGCCCTTGGTCCCCAGCAAATAGTAGAGGAAGCACTGACTTGTAAAGGGCTCTTAATCCCAACATTCTCTAGTAGTCTCATGTATTATATACCCTGTTTCTGTCTCATGCAACACATCTCCAACTACCCTTGTAGCATGTTCCCACTCTGTGACCATCACCCTATAGAGGTCTGCTGTTATGGTCTATCTCTTGTTATATAAACAGAAAGAACAACCTCCTGTGCTCAAGAGACAAGTTCTGGCAATGGTAAGCCAAGGATCTTCAATAATTTCAGTATGGCAAACCTTTGCAGCCCCATTAGGGCCCAGAAGACATACTAGAAAACAAGAAAAAAAGGGGGCGCACCAGCCTTGCGAATTGCCTCAGCGATAACTCTTTATTATAATAGTAAAACAGATGTATACTTACAAACACCAAGAATCACAAGCATATCAATATCCACAGTGTCCTGGATGACCTGGGCCACTGGGCGAGTCCCAAACACAAGAAGACCCTCAGAAATTATTATTATTACTTATTATTATTATACAGGATTTATATAGCGCCAACAGTTTGCTCAGTGCTTTACAATATAATTGGAGACAATACAGCAACAATACAGTTCAATACAAGAGGGATAGGAGGCCCTGCTCCCCGGAGCTTACAATCTAGGAGATACTGACGCATTTTGAGTGGGGAATCCCCTCTTCCTCAGAGCGAGTGATCACTCACCATTTCTGAGGGTCTTCTTGTGTTTTTTAGTACACCTTGGGAGAAGCAGCACCCTCAATGTATCTTCTTTGTGCAGGGAATCTGGATTTCTTTGCTGTTGAAAAAATCTATCTCTCCGTTTGCAGCTGTTTAAGGACTGTACTTTATTGTAACTGCCAAACTTTTCTACCCGGACTTTATCCCGAGTTGCAGCTTCAGTAAAACTGTCTCTGTTTTCACAGATCACTACCAAACACCTTTTTACAGGTTAATACCCTCTGAAAATCACAGCCCAGTTAGCCTGCACTATGAAAATAAAAAAAAATTAACACAAATGTAAATTTTAGTGTACCTGTATGGAATGCATACGTTGTCTTATATTTGGAATATTTCTTGATGTGTAACCATAGTCAAACATTTATGGTCAGTTTAGTTCCATTAAGGGCTTGATTTATACCACTTCATTGCAATTAGCATGCATTGTTGCTAGTTGCATGCACTTGAGTTGATGTGAATTGGCATACGATTCTGTAACTTTTTTTTGTACTGATGTGCATTTTTTAATGCATTGCATTGCTTTTGTTGATTTTTTTTTTTGCACCAGGCTGTGGTGTATTGGAATGTGTTGCAGTGAGTTTAAATGTAGCAAGTTCCATTTTCACCCAATGCACACCAACACATTGGTGCAGATTGAACCTATTGTAAACAATGGATCTTGGCTTGGTATCTTAGTGGACCTCCATTGAGAAAAGCAGCCCAATGTACGTGTTGTGAATGGGCCCGTTATTGCACTCTTTATGGCCAATCAAGGGTTATGAGTGCCTAGGCAGGCCAAACAGTATACTGATTGGCCAGGGCATATTATTGCATCCAATGGGCTATAGGATATAGACTCACAAAATGGCTATTGAAGTTTGTGATCATGGATGTGTTCCTGTCCATGTGGTAAACCAAAACGATCTAGTTTTCAGGGGCCTAATGTATTTTTTGGTGGTGGCATTAAATCACTTCCCCTGAACATTTCTTTTAAATAAGCTGAAATTATGCATGCCACAGTGGCTAAGTTAGCACTTCCACCTAGCAGCACTGTCGTCGGTTTGAATCCCAACCTACACTGAGTTTGCATGTTCTCCATATGCCTGCGTGGGTTTTCTCTGGGTACTCTGGTTTCCTCCCACACTCCAAAGACATGTTTGTAGGTTAAATGGCTCCTGTCTAACATGGCCCTAGTATGTGTATGTATGATTGTGAATTAGGGACCTTAGATTGCAAGCTCCTTGAGGGCAGGGACTGATGTAAATGTACAATATGTATATATGTAAAGCTCTGAATAAATTGATGGCATTATATAAGTATCTGTAATATAAAATTAAATGTAAAAAAAAATATGGAACTGCAGAAAAAATTAAGGATCCAAGGACTGAAGTTCACAGAAGACGGCAAAGGGGTGAGGATCGTGAATGGGATGGAGGAGTGCAAGAAAGATATAGAGCCAGGAAGGTTGTGTGCTCAGGGACCATTTTGGCCTTGACGCCCCTGCAGACAGATGAACCAAATTCCCTGCAGGCTTCAGCCTTTCCTGTGGAAGTGCACATTTTTTTCCATTCTTCCATTCCTCCATTAAACTGTTAAACGACAGTGTTTGTTACACCTCTGTGCATTCCTTCTCCATCCTTACCCTCCCCCACTCTAAAGCTCTCTCCAGCTGGGAGATAGTAATTAAAGGGATGACTCTGTGACCTTTGTCTGCTCAGCAGAGTAGCTGTCCTTGTCTGAGACAGGACATTCATATCACCTGAAGCGTATCCTCCTTGGTGTCTTCATCCTGTTAGATACTTGCATGGTTCACTACTGTGCGCTAGTCAAAAGTACGAGATGCCTTGAGGTGTAGTCTGGATTTCTGCAAGACTAACATTCCTGGAAATCTAAAGATACTCTTTCATTAAGTTATACCTTTGCACCTGCTGCCATGTCAATACAATCTGTAAGATCAGCGTTCCAGATCGTCAGTTCCTAAGCAAAAACACACACAAAAAAAAAATGACCAAAACACTGTAGAAAGTGCTGGCCCGAGGCAAGAAGATTTTATGAAAGGAAATTGACAAGGCCTACTTTGAGTTTTGACACATTGTATTTCAACATTCTAGTCTATGGGGCAAACCTTGTACCTGATGTCATGTTATTGTAGGTGATGCTTGTTGGTGCTGTACTGCGAGGATTTATATTCTCAGAAAATGTAATTATTTCTCTAGAAGTCTCAACTGCTTCTGATATATGTCTGAGGTCCTCCTGACCTTTGTGTGAGTTTGGATCCACCCAACAGTATATATATATATATTATTATTATTATGCAGGATTTATATAGCGCCAACAGTTTGAAAAGCACTTTACAATATAACGGGAGACAATACAGCAACTATACAGTTCAATACAAGAGGGTTAGGAGGGGCCTGATCCTGGGAGCTTACAATCTAAGATATATATGAGAACCTGCATACTCCAACCACTTGCCCTCCAGAGGATTTACCCCCCTTCCTGACCAGGCCATTTTTTGT